CAGCGCCTGCCTGGAGTCCTCCCAGCAGTCCTGGCAGGCAGAGGGCACCCTCGCCCGGGTCCTGCTCGCCCCTCCCCTCAGGCCTTCAGCTCCTCGCCCCACCACGCCCCCGTCCAGGTGTGAGCCCGCTGTCCAGGTGCAGATGCCAGGCCTTTCTCTGCGTGGCCACCAGCGAGACCCGGCTCCGTGCCCCCGTCTCCACTGGGTCCCCCCTGGGCAGGCGCGGTGGTCTCCACAAGGGCCGTGTCTGGGGGCGGGGATCGGCGGGGAGGACACTCACCCTGGGAACCTGGGCCCGGAGACCAGGGAGGCGCCCTCAGAAATTTCTTCTCAATAAAGGCGGAAGGCGGGGCGTCGACCGCCCCTCCCAGTCCCGTGGGTGGCGCGGGCGCTGTGCTCCCGGCCCCTGCCTAGCCCCGGTGCCTCCCAGGGCCGCCCCTTGCCCGCGCCCCCAGGGCCTCTAAAGCAAGCCAGCTGCCGCCCCCGACGACCTCCCTCCTTGGAGGGGTCGGGGGCGGCAGGGCCTGACCCTGCAGTTGCTCACCCACCCGGGACCCGAATGTCCATCCCCAGGGGGAACCGCGACCCCAGCCCCCACTCCCCAGCATTCCGGCGGAAACCAGACCTCCAAATCGGACTGGGGCGTGGGAGTCCCCACGGGGGCCCCGCCCACGGGACCCGCAGCCTTTCCAGCTCCGAGCGGAGCCACCCACCACCCACCACCCGCCCCCACGCGCCCCGGGGGCGCAGGGACGCGGGTTTCGCAGGCTGAGCAGCTGTTCCCCGAAGCCCAGAAAACATAACGTGGAAGTGCACACGACGCCGAGTTTTAGGGAAAATCCATCGTCCTAAGCAATAGGCAGCGATTTTAAACGAGCATTAAAATAAGATCCATCTGGAAGCCGAGCCGATCGCAGGCCGTTTCAGATGCTGGGAGGGCGCGGGCTGGAGGCCGGGGGATGGGGCCGGCCACGGGGTGGGGGGGCGGGCGCGTGGGCGCGGGGTGCTGGGCCCACCCCCGCCGCTGCCCCCGGACCCCGCCTGCCAGCACCGCCCCTCCCGCCCAGCGCAGCCGCAGCCGCAGCCACGCGCGGGGCACGCGCCGCGCGCTTTCTGCGAACCGGGCGCCCTCAGACCCCTCCGGTCCGCACAGGCCCGAGCTACCGCCCATTCTTTTGTTCCTTCCCTGCTAAAAGCAAGTGTCCGCGCGCCCGCCTCCTGTGCCCTCCCTCCGCGAGCCCTCTCCACGCAGGGCCTCTAGCCGCGCGTCGCGTCCCGGGGACCCTCCCTTCCCCGGGGACACTCGCCGCCTCCTCCCCTCTTCCCTCAGCTCCACCCTCCTCCGTCCTCCGCTCGCGCCCACGGTGCCCACGCTGACTCTGCGCCACAGCTCAGTGGCCTCTTCACTCGGGTGTCAAACGCACATGAGGAGACCAAACACCGGGCACCCGGCCCCGCGCGCTCCCTCCTGCCTTGGCCACCTCCACGCGCATGCACCCCGGACTCTGCTCACGGACCCCGCGCCCCCCCACCCCACCCCGCCAGGACCCCCTGTTGGCTCCAGCACCAGCCGCACCCCTGTTCTCACCGCCCTCAAGGTCACGTGACCCCTCCAAGGCCGCTTCTCTGGGGGTAAAACTTCTTTCCAATGGCTACCGGCGCCCGGGTCTCTCCACCGCGAGTCAGCGGTGCGCCCCGGGCCTGCGGGTGTCATAGGGGGCATTTGAACTTTCTCAGGTGCCCACGTGGAAAAAGACCCCCTCCTTTTTCTTAGAACCTTCTCTGTAGAAACTTGCCAACTCTTTCTGTCCCTGTGAAACGATGCAAACCTTGTGGAAAGCGCAGGAAGCCGCTTTCTTGGCAGTTTTAGGCCCGGGCACGTTTTTATTTAGTAGAGTGAGAACAGCCTGCCTGAAGTGTGGACAGGAAGGTGGCGCCCCCTCTGCCGGTCTTGGCGGTGCCTTACCGCAGACGCGGGGCTCGGAGGCGGGGCGCCCTGCGAGTCCCAGAGATGAAAATGTTGGGTGTTTCCTGTAACTGAACTGGGAGGACAGCAGGCAGTGGCCACGCCGGCCAGCGGCTGAGCGTCGGGTGGACTTCGAGCAACTTGGGGGCTGTCGGGTCCTCATCAAAGACTTTTTATTGTGGTAAAATGTACATAAGATGAAAATGTCCGTTTTGACCATTTTAGTGCCGAATTTGGTGACGTTAAGTATGTTTGTTCACAAGGTTGGGCAGTGGTCGCCACTATTGCCAGAATTTGCCAACCCAAACAACAGCTCTGTGCCCATAAAACAGCGTCCCCCGCCTTCCCCCCCCCCGCCCCCCGCCTCCCCCCCCCTTCCTCCACCCCGCCACACACCCGCCCCAGTCCGCCTGCTTGAGAAGGCTCGCAGCTGAGATCGGACCCAGTGCGCCTCCCCTCCGGCTTGTGTCGCAGGACGCCATTTTCAGGGTCGGCCCGTGGTGGGGCGTCCGTCAGCACAGCATCCCTGTCCACAGCTACTTGGGGGTCTGTCCTAGGGCTGCACGGCTGTCCGTGTGCCCGCTCCTCTGCGGGTGGGCGCCTGGAGGAGGGTCCAGCTTCCCCCCTTCTTCTGCAGGTGCACATCCGTGTTCCCACCCATCTGTGGAAGGCCGCCCTCTCTTCACTGAAGTGGTCTTTTCACCTGGGCGGAAACCAGCTGACCATGCAGATGACGGTCACTTTCTCGACTCTCAGCTCTCTTCCCTTGGCCTTCATGCCTGCCCTCCTGCCAGGACCCCGCCCTGCCGCTTCTGAAAACAAGAAGCTGTTATTACCGTAGTTTTCATTTGTAACTACTCTTTTTTTTCTATGTGATTTAACTGGCAAATCCGTGAAACGATCATTGTGAATCTGTTACCGGGCACACAGTGTATAAAGAGTCCTCTGTGACAGCGATGGGGAGGGAGATACACAAGTAGGAGATTTCGTGCCCACTGAGGCTGAGCTGGAATGATTACAGCTAGGTTGTTATAAGTTCAAGGTTATCATTGTAACTCTCAAGAAAACCACTAAGAAAATACTGGGGAAATATACCAGAAAGGAAAGAAGAAGGGAATCGAAATGGCACACTCGAAAATCAACTCAGTAGCAAGAGGCAGGAGCGCAGGGACCAAGGGACAGAACCCCCGTGTGGCACCCGGAGACAAATGACTAAAGGGCAGAAGGAGCCGTCCTGTCGGCGGATGGAGACTCTGCAGGTAGAAGGCAGACGTGCACAGAGCGCTGGAGGAACAGGCTCTCTCCGCTGGCCATGTGGCAGACTCACCGTAGATGCAAAGGCAGGGCGGTGTTCGGTACTGGGTTGGCCAAAAAGTCCACATGGATTTTTTCATGGGAGAAAAGGCCCTTTTCATTTTCACTAATAATTTTGATGTGGATATTTGGAGTATGTTGGCTGTCTCCCACGTGGTATAATGCTGGTTGTTCTCAATAATGTCTTTTTAAAAAAGATTTATTTATTTTTAGAGAGAGGGGAAGGGAGGGAGGAGAGAAACATCAGTGTGTGGTTGCCTCTCGTGCGCCCCCTACTGGGCACCTGGCCCGCAACCTGGGCCTGTGCCCTGACTGGGGATCAAACCAGCAGCGCTTTGGTTTTCAGGCCGCCACTCCATCCACTGAGCCGCAGCAGCCAGGGCTCAGTTAGGGTTTTGATGTTACTGCCATCAACTCCGGCTGGTCCAGCCGACCAAGAAGCATCATCCAGCTAGAAATCTCCAGCACGAAACTTCACAACCACTTTTGACATGTTCGCTCCGTCACAGCACCTTTTCCATACACTGCACAATTTTTTTTACTGCATTTCAGCTGCATTTTCACCTTTCTTGAATTAATAAAGCATAGTATGCTGAAAATGGTGCTTATATTCTTCCATTTTCAATTTTACAGTGGCTACACAAAAATTAACCATTATGACAAGTGTTTTTAAAGATTTTATTTATTTTGAAACAGAGGGGGAGGGGAGAAGGAGAGAAACATCAGTGTGTGGTTGCCTCTCCTGTGGACCCCACTGGGGACCTGCCATGTGCCCTGACTGGGAATCGAACCGGCAACCCTTTGGTTCAGAGACCGCACTCAATCCACTGAGCTATACCAGCCAGGGCTGATAAGTTTTTAAGTGCACGCTGATATGACAGCTGTCACATTGCAATGTAACACAATTGTTTCAAATGAAATGAAAGAGAACTAAGTGCTAGAAGAAGACCTATCATACACACAAAAACCACACAAACATTTGGGCCAAGCCAGTTACAGAGAGGGAGAAGTCCTTCCATGCCGTCACCAGAGAGAGCAGGGGTGGCTGCATGACCGTCACATGAAGTGCTCTATGCCAGGGGCCCCGGAGGACAGTGCCTCCTCCTGCGGTCATGTGTGGCGTGGGTCGGACCAGCCCGGCTCCGGTGGAGGGTGCGTGGTCTGCCCCTGCACTTGCCCGGTGTGCGTTCACTCGCTGTGTCCTTTGCACCGCTGCGGACAGGACCCCTGGGGGGGCCGCTCGCTGCCTCCTCTGTTTCCGCACTGGGCCCCACCGCGTCTCCCTCCTCTACCTGCTCTGCCTTTCCTTCCTGAACGGCTCTTTTCACAGCCTTTTCACACCTACACCTCCCTCTCCCGCCTCAGGCAGGGACCCCGACTGCTGTGTTTGTGGAGGGAGTGGGTATACAGCGGGCACTACAAAAGCGCTCGCTGAGTGAGTGAAAGCCGATAGGCAGGTCCACCGCACCACGCCAACCACGGGCTGCCACCCCACGGAGACCTGCCCTCCTGCCCAGACGCTGCCCACACCAGGTGACCCCCGGCCCCACCTGCCCGCCTCTCCCCACCTCTCACCTGCCAGGTCCTGGAAGAGCCAGGCAGCTGGCGCCCCTCGCCTCCTCAGTGTCTGTTCATGGGTTGCTGGACGGCCCTGTTCCACTCGCCCCCCCCCCTTCCTGTTTGCTTCCCCATCCCCCACCTGGCCCACTGGGCACCCCATGGAATGTACGTATTTAGCCTGTGGCCTGTCAGTTCCAGATAAGGTGACCCAGGTCCTGCCCGCTTGGGCTTCAGGGCTGAGAGTCCCGACCGCAAGCCCCTCAGTGCAGGACAGACCTGGGCATGGTTGCAGCCGCAGGGGGCACGACCTTTGCCATGCCGTCTGCTCCTGCTGCCAGGTCAGTGCCGTACCCGGTGGGTGCCTGCTCGTGGAAAGGACGCATGGGGCACACAAGTGTCCAAACCCGCACCCCGGCCAATCTGTGACCCTCCCACCTCCTTTACCATCCCCTGTGGTGGGGCCCGAGGTCATCAGCACTGACCTCCCGGGCAGGCGTGGGCTGGTGACCGAGGACGTGCCGGCACCCGCAGACTGCGGTGTCCTGGGTGCAGTCTGGGGCCTCCCACGTGGTGGGGGCTGGCGCGCTCCATCCCATCCGTGACCCCGCCCTCACCCCACGGCAGCCACCACCTGGGCCCATTGTCAGGTGCACCCGTGACCCTCCCCCCACTTGCCTTAAGGGGCTATTGACCCGGCCAGTGCCATCTCTGTCCTTAAGGGAAGAGGCGAGCCAGGTGGACGGGGCGGAGGGGGCACGCTGGTTCTGCCCGCCCCGGGTCCGCAGGAGAGACAGTGGGACCCGGACCGCAGTTGGCACGGGCAGAGGGCAGCACAGCTGACTGTCCAGGGCCAGGTGCAGACGCCTGTCCCTCTGCCCGCCTTCATCAGGTGGAGGCGATGCCCAGACTCCTGGTGGCAGCTCAGGAGCAGCGCAGGGGAGGTCCTTGTGAGGATGGCCCCGGAAGGGCCTGGGGCGCAGGAGTCGCACTGCCGGGCCAAGGGTCTCTCGCTGGTCACCCAGCACCGATGGCACACGGTGGCCCTCGAAGAGTCTGACATGCTTTTGAGTGGCACATGAAGCAGGTGGCCTTGGAGCCCCACCGCGCTGCCCTGGTGAGGTTTGGGAGTGACCTCTGAGCGGCCTGAGCTCTGGGGCCACTGGGACAAGCCGGCGGTGCTGGAAGGCATGTGGCAGGGTCCTTGGAGGGGCAATGGAGGGAGCTGGGTGCTTGGGCGTGAGGTGGGGGCCGCGTGAAGGCCCAGCCTGGGCAACGAGGAGTCTGCCATTGGCATGGGGGTGCTCTGGGCTAGAGGTGGGCGTGGACCACCGGGGCTGGTCAGCTACAGGAAGGACGGGGTCACACCCTGCGCACCAGCACCCGGGAAAAGCTCCGTTAGCTGTCCGGCAGGGAGGGTGGCTGTGACCATGGGGTGTCCGGAGGGAGCCTGGACCAAGCTGAGACAGGGAAGGTCAGGGGCCAGGTCATCTGAGGATTTGAGGATAGGGCTGTCCCCCAGTCATTCTGTCGCCCACCCAGGGAGGTCAAGAAGGGGCTGAAGGCTGTTTGTCAGAGTCAAAGCACCCAGCCCAGCATCACGGGCCGCACGGAGCTGCGGAACTCCGGGAGCTGGGTCCCGCGGCCTGGGGTCACCCCGCACTCTGAGCCTGGCCCGCTCCGTCAAGGTTCGGGTGCCCAGGCACGAGTTGGTCGTCACTGCACCCGGCAGTCCAGCCCCGGAACTTGCTTGTTCTTGATGAGACACCCATCTCGGTCAGCTGTCCCCTGGGTGACCGCTGGGGACAGAAGTGGGGGGTGGCTCAGTCAGCCAAGGACGAACTCTGGGGTGCACCCCCTGACCCCGACCCCCCACTGTGATGAGGGGGCTGCCAGCACATGTCCTGTCATCAGGGGGCCCCTGGGCCAGGAGACCCCATCCAGACACCAGGCCTGGGGTGACCTGTCATCGGCTAGAGATGACTTTGCTGGGGAAGGGGACCTGGACTTGACCAGAAAGCTCTGCTGGGGATTAGGAGGAGTGAAGGATGAAGGTCTGAGGGACCCTCTGCAGGCCCTGGGGCATTTCTGGGGGTGCGGGGGAGCAGACTCAGGGCTGGCCTGGAAGTGCTGTGACTCAGCTGGGATCAAGGATGCTCTGAGCCCCCCGCCCCCGCCCCATCCCAGCCTGCACAGTTCCTGCTCTGGTCTCCCCTCAGCAGCCAGGAGGGCTTGCAGGTGGGGCCCTGCACCCTGCTCACACCCCAGAGTCTCCTGGGCTCTCAGGCGGGGTCACCAGCAGCCACACCCGAGACCAGCAAGATTACCTCCACCTTCCACCCAGCCCGAGGTCACAGGAGTCTGGGCCCAAGGACATCCCAAGCTCCTAGACAGGAGGAAGCAGAGCCCCAGTCAGGGTGGTGGACACTCTGAAGAGGAGGCAGTGACACCGCGCAGGGCCAGGCCTGGCCTCCTGCATCCCACCCCCAGTGAGCCCCCCACGTGCCCCCAGCCGAGGCCGGGTTCCTGCACTCACCGCACTGCAGGGCGCACAGCTGCTGGGGGCCCGAGAAGAGCACGTCAGTCCTCCAGCCCTGCAGACACGGGCAGCTCGGTCAGTGTGCTGCCCCTCGGCCTTCTCTCCACCCCACTGAGCCCCCAGGGGGTCGGCCCGGGAGGCTGCCAGGGTGAAGGGGCCCCAGGGCAGCCTTGGGGGGCAGGAGCTCCCCAGCTGCTCACGACAGGAGAAGCTGAGGTGCGGGAGAGAGCGAGTCTGGGCACCTGGATGCAGGTGTTGGGCCCGCAGGCCTCCTCCCCGGGAACGTCCACGAAGACGGGGTCTGCGGTGAGGTTGGCCTGTGGGGGGAGGAGTGGGTCACAGGCAGTGGGGGGCAGACCAGGCTACCCCGCGTCCCTGTCCCTCATGCACACGCGTGGAGCTCGGGCCTCAGACCTCTTTGCACGGTCTGCGGCTGATGGCCTCTAGGGGCAGCCCCTGGCCTGGTGGGGGACAGAGAGAGGACCAACAGGGGTCAGCCTCCCCCATCCCCAGGGTGGTGCCCAACCCCCCTGACTCACTGAGGCTGGAGAGAGGGCGGCGGCCTGGAGTGTTTGGTGGCAGGCAAGGGGCCACATCTTCCCTCTGTGACACAGGCGCACTTGGAAGTGGGCAGGGCTGGGCGAGAAGAAGGTGACCCGGAGGTGGGTCCGCAAGGGTGCTGGCCGGACGGTCATCTTCCAGGCTGCGGGGGGTTGAGGGGTGAGGCCCAGCTCACAGCCCACCCCCACCCCGCCCTCCACTGACCCAGCCCCCTGTCGTCCCACCCCTGTTATTTGTTGTGTCCACACTGCAAATGCCACATCCAGCCTCGCTGGGCCCCAGGGCCGCTCACCTGGGAAGCCTGGCCGTTGGAAAGGGCAGCTCACCGAGAAGCCCCGGCTGGTGGAGAACTGCAGAAGGGCGAGGCACAGGGTAGGGCGAGGTGTGCAGCTGGGGGCTGCTGCAGGGCCCCCTGGGATCCGCCTCCACCCCGGCCCTTAGCTCCACCCACTGTCAGACCAGGACTGGGTCAGAGGGGCTGCTGGGAGGCCCGACAGCAGGCTGAGTAAGGCATGTGGGGTGTGGGGCCCTTCCACCTGCCTCCCAGCCCCCTCTGCAAGCTGTCCTAGTGCGTGTCGCAGGCAGCCCACCTTGCCCACTCACCTTGAGGCAGAGCTGAGGCTGGGTGTCCACCAGTGAGTACTGCACCTGAGGGGGGCGCAGGTCAGGGCCAGGCTGGCCGGGCTGACCCCTACCCCCTCCTGGCGGCCACTCACCCTGCCATGTGCAGACCGGGCTGAGTGCTTCAGCTCCTGGCACTGGGCCCCTGGGTCCGGGCGCCAGCACAGGCTCACGTAGCCTCTCACCGGACAGGCCGGCTCCCAGCTCAGCGCCTGGCTTGCCGGGTGGTAACGGATGGTCTCCCACAGCGCCTCTGTGTCTGCAGGGACCCGCCTCCCACCCGCGGGGGTTCGAGTCAGCTGGGTGCTACCTTGGGGGCCAGTGAGCCCCAGGACCGGGCACCAGCGAGACTCGTGCGCCAGGGACAGGGACTCAGCGGCGGGTCTCGGGTAGGTCTCTGGCCTGGCCGGAGTCCATGCACGTGCGTGTGTGGCGTCATGAGCAGAAGGCAAGGGCCTCTCTTGTACGTTCAGAAGCCCCTTTTGGGAAGACTTGGTTCTTCCAGGGCAGCCAGGCCGCAGCACGTGCTGCGCGCACACACGGCACGCGCACACGGCACGCGCACGTACACGCACGCTTGCAGCGCCCGCTACCCTGAGAGCCAGCGCGGGGGCAGAGGTCCTTCCCCTGGAGCAGGCCGGCCGCCACCTGACTGGATGTTCCCGACCTGCCCGTCTCCCACCCTTCTGTCCTCCCTCTGCCCACCCCTTGGCACCACAGGGTACTTGCCGTTTTCAAAGGGGCAGGTCTGTGTCCGCACTGCATCTAGGGTCGCAGACCAGCTCTGTGGGAGGGGCTAGGGTCAGGCCAGGCCTGTCTGTCCCTTGGTCCCCTCCTGCAGCCGAGGTCATCCCCTCACTCACCTCTAGGCACAGGCAGGGCAGCTCCTGGCTGTAGGGCAGAGAAACCATCCGAGAAACGCTGTTTGCTGTCACCTGCAGTGGAGTAAACCCAGCACTAAGGCGCTGGGGTCCAGCGGGCAGGATGGGGACCAGGCCTGGAGTGGGCGGGCCCAAGAGCAGACAGTGGGGCGTGGCCTCGCATAGTGGGCGTGGTCTTGGAGGGTGGGGCTGTGAGTGGGCCTGGGTGGTGTGGGCCGGGCTTGGGTAGGACAAGGGCTCCGGCCTGGGGGTGTGGGATGGGCAGAGGGCTCACCCGCACTGGTGCGCCTGCATCCTCGCAGGCGATCCACTTGAGGCAGAGGCGTACGTAGTAGTCGGGGCCCCTGGGGGCCTCCGGCACCTGTACCAGAACGACCTTGCGGCTGCGGTCCACCCGGTAGGATAGCTTCCTGGCTGTGGGATGGCGACGGGGGCTACGCTGGGACCAGAGGCGCCAGACACAGGGTTCCGCCTGTCCTGAGAGCCCAGAGGAGGTGACCTGTGCTAGACCCTGGCATTTGGGGGTCTTTCACCTGAGGACCTGTCTTGATTTCCTAAGTGGGGTCGGAAGAAGACCCTGGTGGTAGGGCTGTGGTCCCGGTAACAACCCGAGGATCTGCTCAGGTAGGTTGTGGCCCCACCTGAGGAGAAGGCTCACCAAAGCAGTCCGGCACGTTCCTCCTCACGTCTTCGTCCCCGCAGTCTGCAAATGACAGACACAGTGGTGGACCCAGCCGGCTCTGCCCCAGGGGCCGTCCCTCCAGCTGGGCCTCTGTCCGTGTGGTTTCCAGAAGTCCCTCCTCTCCAGGGAGGCAGTGACCCCAAATTAAGCCAGATGACCTTGCCGGGAGCTGCCCAGCTGGGGCCCTGCCCCCACCCTGGGTGAGTTTCACCCCACAGCAGCCCCTCGAAGCCGGAGGGCAGCTGTGCCCAGGCCGGTCCCCTGGGCTCTCACCTTTCACCCGGTACTGCTGCTCCAGCTGGACCCCACAGAAGTAAGGGACAGTCCTCAGGGTGACGTAGAGGCTCTGGGCCACTCTCACCTCAAAGCAGTTGAAGTGCACCTGGAGCTGGGCAGGGACAGGTGTGAGCCAGGTGGACCTGGGGACTCCATGGCTCCACCCAGCCCAGCTGGAACCCAGGATCTGGGAGGCGGGGAGGAGTGGCAGCCACTCCCTGGGCCTTGGGCGGCGGAGGCCCAGGACAGGCTGCGGCCAGGTGGCCGGGAGAGGACAGCAGACAGGGCAGGGCAGGGGACGGCTGCTGCCCCACAAAGGCTTGGGGCTGGACTCGCAGGTCCGGGTCAGACCCTGGCCTCACCTGCTGCCCCTCCTGCCGCTGGCGAGAGGCCCTGGAGACCCGCACGCTGTGACACTGAGTCTCCTGGGTGTCTGGGCTCATGGAGCAGAGCTCCAGCCCCCGCAGGCTCTCTGGGGAAGGAGGGCCGGGCAGCTCGTCAGACCAGTGGGGCCCCTTCCTGCCCTCCTCTCTGGGACGCGTACCCAGCAGAGTCTGACGTGGGGGTCAGAGGAGCCCCGAGCCCACCACCCCCCTCCTGGGTGCCACCCCTCTCACCGTGCAGCGTGAGGGAGGCGTGCACGTGCAGCAGCAGGGAGCAGCCGCCCTGGGGGGCACACTTCATAGCGGTGGACAGTGTCAGGGCCCCCAGGACTGATGGGGCCATGGACCCGGGGAGTGGCCGGCAGAAGCTGTTCAATATGTTCCCTGGGGAGGGAGAAGGAGGGCGAATGCCACAGGGGTCCTGACACCTGGGGAAGCTTTGTGGTGGGTGAGCCAGTGGGGAGACTGTGGGGCTGCCCTGCTGGGGAGGGTCCTCACGCCCTTCCCAGTGTGGTCAGGGAACCAGTGCCCCAGTAAGGGGTGGCCCACCCCCGGGCCACACCCAGACTGTCTGTCGGCGCCAGGAGTGGGGCCCAGGTCGGCAGAGTAGGCCACACCGAGCTGAGGAAATGGGGCCGACCATCCGGGCAGGCTGCAGTGGCCAGAGTCAGCAGGACAGAGCGGGATAGACGATAGAAGGACACAGACGGACTCTGTAGAACATTCCGGCTGCTGAATCCTCAGCAGAGCATGGGGAGGGGTAGGCCTGTGCGGGCTCTCCCTGAGCCGGAGCACGAACAGCCTTGGGGACCCCAGGGGACAGTGCCCTGCACCACGCAGGGCTGGAGGAGGCCCTGCTCCCAGCCAGGCCAGCCGGTCCCCGGGGACAGTAACTGGGAGCCCCGCCTCCGTGTGGGGCACAGTTGGCCTCGGCCGGCCCTGCTCTGGTCCTGCCCGACCAATAAAAGCTGGACCCCCCAAAGCGTCAAGTTGTTTCCCAGTTACTTAACCGTATTCCAGAAAAGGCTCAAGAGGATCTGTAGGCATAAAAATATATCCTGCACAACCGGCAGGATATATTCAACAGGCTAGACAGGCTAAATTCCAACGGGCTAAAATTCAATAAAAAATTATAGTCCTTGCAAGGAATCATGGAAAACACAACCCAAAATGGGGAGAAAAATCAATTAATCAGAACTGACACATAATAGAATTAGTAGACAAGAACATTAAAACAATTATTATAACTGTACTCCTATACTCACAATGTTAATTACAGACATGGGAGGCATTTTTTAAAAAACCCAAATCCAACTTCTGGAGATGAAAACTACTTCTAAGATGAAAACCACATCAGACAGAATTAACAGCACGTTAGACACTGACCAAAAAAGAAAAGATTGGGGAAGTTGCCATAGCGATAGAAATTCTCCAAAGTAAACAGAAAGAGACGAGGATGATGTGACAAGCACCGATATAATAACAGAAAATGCATCAGTGAGCTGTTTGTGGAATTACAGTTCCAGAAAAAATGGGGGAACCAAAAAAAAAAAAAAACTCAAAGAAATGACTCAAATGGTCCAAACTTGAAAACGCCAACCTCACAGACCCAAGAAGATCGCTGGGCGCTCAGTATAAGAGATGCGAAGAAAATTACAACCAGATACACCACGATCAGTTTGCTCAAAGCCAAGGATAAAGAGACAATTGTGGAAGCCACCAGAGGGGAGGGGACAGACGGGTCCTGCACAGAAGGACAGAGACGAGAACGAGGCAACTTCTTGTCAGAAGCGGTGCAGGTGAGGAAGCCTCTAAAGTAGAGAAAGACGAACCCGCCAGCCCCGGGCCCTACCCCAGGAGCCCTCTTTCGAAATGAAGGGCAAGGAAAGACCCTGTTAGCTTACAAAAGATGGAAGATTCCCTCATTAGCAGACCCAAACTACAAAAGTCTTTTGGGCAGGAAGGAAACTGCTACCAGATGGAAAAATATATCAAAGGAATAAAGAACACCAGAAATGGGAACCACCTGGGTAAATACACAAGTGGTTTTCTTATCACTTAAATCTGTCCAAGACTCAACCGTTTAAATGAGGTAGTAATACTGCCCCGTGGAGTTCGCAGGGGCAGGCGTGGGTCCAGCCGCATGGGTACCGGAGATGGGAATCGACCGCTGCCTGTGAAGTTCCCCGTCATCCCGGGAAGGGAGACGATAGCCAGTTAAAGATGGATGTGTAGACCCCGAAGCAACCACTAAAATCACAAAACAACGGCTTCGCCTAATCGGTCAGCAAGGGAGACACGATGGGGTCACGAATACGTTCAAAGCATTCCGTTAATCCCCACGGAGGCAGAAGCCGCAGCTAAGGAGGAAAGGGTGGAACAAACAAGCAAACAAGGAGAGGATAAATTGAAGCCTGCCCGAATCCGTATTCACATAACAAGTAAATGTTCAAACATCGCCGTTAAAACACAAACATTTTCCAGAGACCTGACCATGGGCTGCCTGTGAGAAATGCCCTTTAAATATAAAGACCCAGATCGGTTAAAAGTAATAGTACGAGAATGAAAAAAGACACGGGTGCTAATACTAAGTTTTAAAAGCTGAAGGGGTTAGTACCAGGAGACACAGGTTTCACAGCAAAGAACATCACCAAGGACCGAGACGGTCACCGTAACTCAGGGACCCCCCCCCCCAAGACATGCCATCCCTGCGCGTCCGTGCCGCAGCGGGGGCGGGGCTTCAAGGCGCACGGACCAGCGCACAGCTGTAGCTGGAGGTTTCGAGACTCCTCTCCACAGCTGGCAGGACCCGTAGACAGACAGACTCAGGAAAAACTGTAGCAGCCTGTGCAAGGCCCCGGGCAACCCGACTCCGCCAACCTTACAGAACACACATCCCAGTGGCTGCAGAATCTGTTTTTCTTTTCATGTTTTTAAAGCTATTTTTAACAAGATTTGATTTACGTTTTTTTTTTTTGAGAGAGAGAGAGAGAGAAACAGCAATGTGTGGTTGACTCTCATACGACCCCTACTGGGGACCTGGCCCACTACCCAGGCATGTGCCCTGACTGAGATTCGAACCTGCGACCCTTTGGTTCACAGGCTGGCACTCAACCCACTGATCCACACCACCACTGGGGTGGCTTCTGCTTTTTGAGGCACACGGAACACTTTTCAAGATGAACCACATTCTGGCCCATTAAACAGTCTCAATAAATTTAAGAGAATTCAGATCCCGCAAACTGTCTTCTCTGACAAAACTGTAATCAAATTAGGCATTAATGAAATATTTCTGGAAAATCTCCAAATATTTAGAAACTAACCAACACACTTCTAAACCCCCATAGGCCAAAGAAAAACACAACAACAAAAACCACAGACTACTTCGGACCGAGTGAAATGCGAAGGGAACATATAAAAAGGTCGGATGTTGCCGAAGCAGTCGGTCCTCAGGGGACATTTGCAGCCTAAACTCCCGGCCCAGAAGCAAAAGGCCCGGCCCGGCTGGGTGGCCCAGTTGGCCAGGGCCTCGTCCCAGAGAACCAACCTGGCAGTGGGATCCCTGGTCAGGGCACACACCAGAATCAAACAATGACTGCATAAATAAATGGAAAAACAAATTGAGGTTTCTTTCTCTCTAAAATCGATAAATAAAAAAAATTATAAAAGAAAGATTCAAATTAGTGACCTCAGCTTTCACCATAAGGCGTCAGAGAAAGAAGAGCAAACATACCACACCTTAAACCAATACTGTGGCGTAAAAGTCTATTGTATTGAAAACTACAGGTTGGGGGTGGGGGGGGAGAAACCTGAGACGAGCGGAAGGAAGGGAATGAAAAAGGTCCCAGTGGCAACCAGTGAAGAAGGGACAGAAAAGCCAGGGAGAAGAGCCAGTGAGAGCATTTGTGAGTTCTCTGCAGATTCTTCCAGAAAATCGAAGGTGAGGGAGCAGGAACTCGATGAGTCCCAGGGTAACTGTGCCGAGAGACAAGAATACAGGCTGCGTGACCCCATTCGCCTCCGTGGGTGGGCGGGGGAGGGGAGGGTGGCAGGGCCCGGGGAGCCCCCGGGGGGTGGGGGTGGAAAAATCCAGCCTCCCGCCCCGGGCGGAGTCTCGCAGGTGTGCACACACAGGTCGTCCTGCGCAGACCCAGTGTTTGGCATGCCCTGCGTCAGCCCTGTGTCAACAAGGCTGCAAAGGCCACTTCCTGCTCCCTGACTGTGCTGGGGAAGGAGGCGGGGCCTCCGAACCGCCCCCAGCGGCGGCAGCCCCTTGGCGGGGCTTCTCCCAACTCAGGTCAACACGGCCAGAAATGGGGGAAATAGAAACACTGAACAACAAAGCCCCCGAAGCCTTCGATACCCAGGGCGCGACTGTCTTTGGATCCCTGAGGGTCTCGTCACGGGTGTGCCCTCGGTTCCTCGGTGGCGGAGGGAGAGATGGGGACGGCCCGGGACCCAGGCTCCCTCTGCCTCTCCCCACCAGACCTTTGGCGACTTAAGGACAGTAAAGCCAACGTATATGTCTTTTGTTATCCCCACTTGCGGGCAGTTCTCACCCGTGTCAGCGACAAACCCTCCTCCAGCTCAGGAGGTTCTAAATTGAACAGTCACCTGCACCCGGCGTGGCCCGCCGCTGGCTCCGACCTAAGGGAACTAATGTCTGGTATCTGGTGGGCTCTTCGGAGCCTTCTAGAAGGACACCAAGGACAGTGGCCAGATCGTAGGAGAGTCCCCCTGAAGGAGGCAGCTGAGCCCCTGGCTGGCCACAGGCTTTGTGGTAAAGCCCGGGGGGGGCCGCCAGGTCACGTGGGTGGGGGAGGGCGGTGGGGAGGACTCTGTGCCCAAGGCCGATGCCTCCTCGGGCCGGAGGGCCATCCCTGGGCTTGGTGGGCAGCGTCCTACGTGGGGAGTGTCCTGTCGAGTCCCCTTCCCATGCTGGTCGCCTGCTGCGTGTGTGGGAACTCCCTCATCTGCAGGAAAGGAGAAGTGTGTGTCTTCTGACCTTTTCTGGGGGGGAAAACCGAACCTATCCCAGCCAACCAAGAAAACAATCCAAACCCAAATGCATTTTTTGAAAAAAGTAGACCAGTGGGGGAGAAAGGCCCGGGTGAGCCTGGAGGTGATGGCACCTGTGAAGCTAAGTCCAACGGAGGCAAAGTTGCTGTTTTAGGACAGAAGGCATGGGAAGGGCAGGCTCTGCCCCGCAGTGAGCTGGCAAAGCGGGGAGGGCGCACGCGGCGGCGAGAGACACTGTGCCGTGGAAAGGGCTGTGAGCCCAGACTCCGTGGTGCAGTCGGGAGCCCACGTGCCCGGCCTCAGCTGGAGGCTGAGAAAGGGACGCCTGACCCCGCATTTTCAAAGGAGAGACGGGCTCAGAGGGG